AGAGACAGGAGCCCCGGGAGCGCTGCCAGTGCTGACGGGGCGACACACACACACACAGGACCCTCCACCCACGGGGGTGTTTCTCTCCCCACCCCACAGCCCCCTGGGCGATGCGTGGGGCTGTGTCCCCACCCGGGCTCGAGTTTATTTCAAGCCTTAATTTGGAGGCTCTAAAAAAAAAAAAAACAACTCCCTTGCAGGAGCGTTTTTAATAAACCTGAAGCTTTTCCACACTAAATAAAGGCTGGGCTGAGCACCGGACCCCTGGCAGGGACACACCACTGCACAAAACCCCTGACGTGGGGGAGATGCTCTGCCCTGGGGGGTCGCTGGTGGGGTAACACCCCCCCGCCGTGTCTGCACATGGCAGTGTCACCCCATGGGCCCCCCCAGGGGAAAATGAGACCCACCGGGAGCTGGATGGAGCCAAAATAAAAGGAGAAAAGAGGCTTCAAAGGGGCCACCCAGCACCCATGGCGGGGTGGGAACGCCTCGTGGGTGGAGGAGCGGAACCTGCCCGCCTGCCTGCCCGTGCATGCCCCCAGCGTGGGGGTGGCGGGTCCCAGCAGCCGCCGGAGGTGCCGATGGAGCCGCGGTGGCAGTACCAGTTCCGGGTGATCATGCTGGGGGACTCAACGGTGGGCAAGTCCTCGCTGCTGCGGTGCTACACCGAGGGCGTCTTCCTGGACGCCGTCAACCAGACGGTGGGGGTGGATTTCTACGTTCAGTTCGTGGAGCTGGAGCCGAGGCTGCGGGTGAAGCTGCAGTTCTGGGACACGGCCGGGCAGGAGCGGTTCAGGTGGGTCTGGCTCCGGCCGCGGCGTGGGGAGGGGTGATGGTGCTGGGTATCCTCCTGGATTTGGGGTACTGGTGAGATGTGATCCCAACTCCAGGCAGGTCCTGGATACAGTCATGTCCCCCACCACCCCCTTGCTGGGGGGAGCCCCGTGGGTGAGGAACCACCATGCCCAGCACTGGGCAGGCTGCAGGGGCCCAGGTGAGCCAACGCCATGGAAAGGAGCTCTTGGGGTGACCTTTAAGCCTTTTCTCCAGCTCCAAAGGAGCTACAGGACCCCCCCCCAAGCACCCCTCTGCCCCTCCAGCTGCAGAGGGTTGGGGGAAGAGGCTGGGAGCCCACTGGGAGCTGGGCAAAAAGTGGCTTCCCCAGCTTGACTGCCAAGGAGCCCTCACACCTCCCTGCTGGGGCTGCCCATCGCCGGCCAGGCTGGCTGCTGGGGACAGGGAGTTCAGGGGACATGGCTGCAGGGCATGGGAGGATGGCAGGGCTGTGGCTGCAGGGGATGGGAGAGCACCGGGGACGTAGCTGCGAGCCATGGGAAGTCTCGGCTGTGGCTGCAGCGGACAGATGAGCTTTGGTGGCCAAGCAGGGACAGAGCTGCCTGGAGCACTTGCTGATACAGCAAAAGGGCAGATTCTCCTCCCTCGTACAGTGACTTGGAAGCAGAGTGCATGTTGCAGGGGACAGAACGTGGCTGGGGCTGCTCTGCAGGGAGGGGAGATGCTGCCCAAAGCAGCACAGGGAAGCCCTGGGGGCTGCTCACCCCCTTTCTCTTTGCGCCCCAGGTCTGTGACTCGCTCCTACTACCGCAACTCAGCCGGGGGGATGCTGCTCTTCGACCTCACCAACCGCGCGTCCTTTGAGAGCGTCCGGCAGTGGCACCGGGAGGTGACAGACACGGTCCAGCCCTTCAGCATCATCTTCTTGCTGGTGGGGCACAAGAGTGACCTGGCAGGGCAGCGACGGGTGGGCAGGAAGGAGGCAGAGAAGCTGGCAGCCTCGCTGGGGATCCAGTACATTGAGACCTCGGCCAAGGACGCCAGCAACGTGGTCCAGGCCTTCCAGATGCTGACGGTGGCCATCTACCAGGCGCTGCTGACGGGGCGGCTGGCTCCCACCGAGGCGTGGGCCGGGGTGAAGAGCAGCGTCCCGCTGCCGGTGCCGCTCAAGGCTCGGGTGTCGGAGAAGGAAGAGAAGCGGCAGAGATGCTCGTGCTAGAGAGCTGGGGGACGCTGGCAGCCTGCCCTGGAGGGGCTGGGACACGCTGGGCTCTGCCCACTGTGGTGCACGGGAGCTGAGGCAGAGATGGAGCAGCCGGGGTGTAGGCAGGAGCAGCGAGCGACTGCCAGGGCGCATTAAACACCCCCTGTTCACCTCGCTGCCAGCCCGTGTTTGCCTGGGGAAGGGGAAGCGGCCAGCGCTGCCCACGGGAAGGGTCCCACATAGGACGGGGCAGCGGCCAGCAGAGATGGGTGTCACCTCCCTTCCCCTGTTCCCTCACCAAACCCCTTCCTACAAGGTCCCCGTCCCCCGGAGACGAACCGCAGGCCTGTTGGCACCCCGGCTCCCACACCAGATCAGTGTTGAACCCCTTTTCCTACTCGACCCCTTTGCTCAGCGCTGGGCTCCTCCCGGCTCGGGAGGACAAGGCAGGGTTTGCTTCGGAGAGCGACTCCTCCGGGTGCCCGGAGCTGGAGCAGCCGGTGAACAACTCCACGTCCCCCGCTCCCTGGCAGCAGGAACCGCTTCCCTCGGGCCCCAGCACCCAGCACTGGTGTGATCGCAGTCCCTCGGCTCCTCAGCCGAGGAGAGAGCCCGTCCTGGTTTTGAATTACTTCAGCCAAGGCCGTTTCCCCCGTAGGTACCGGGAGGCCGAGGGCCCCAGCAGCCAGCCGGGCCGGGAGGATGCACCCCACTGCTGCCTGCGGGCACACACAGCCCCCCGCGTTGTGCCGGGGTTTGCAGAACTGCTGCCTGCCTCTTCACCACGGCAAACGCACCTGCAGTGTCTGAGACTGAGCAGAGCAGGCAGGGACAGGCGGGGGGCACGGCCTTTATGTCCCAAGGCAGGCAGAGGAGCCTCGATTACTTGTCTTCAGCCCCAGAATCACAGAATCCCAGACTCATGTGGGTTGGAAAAGCCCTGGAGGCTCCTCCAGTCCAACCATGACCCTCACCCTGACCGTTCCCAACTCCCCCAGATCCCTCAGCGCTGGCTCAGCCCGACTCTTCAACCCCCCCAGGGATCCCGGGGACTCCCCCCCTGCCCTGGGCAGCCCATTCCAACGCCCAACAGCCCCTTCTGCACAGAAATCCTTCCTCAGAGCCAGCCTGACCCTGCCCTGGGCAGCTTGAGGCCATTCCCTCGGGGCCTGGCGCTGGGGCCTTGGCTCCAGAGACTCATCCCCCCTCTCTGCCCCCTCCTGGCAGGGAGTTGCCGAGGGCCAGGAGGTCTCCCCTCAGCCTCCTCTTCTCCAGACTGAACCCCCCCAGTTCCCCCAGCCGCTACCCAGCAGACCTGTGCTCCAGATCCTGCCCGAGCTCCGCTGCCCTTCTCTGGACACGCTCAAGCATCAGCACTCTCTACCCCTAACACCCACCACAAGAGCAGCCTCATCACCACAAAACATCCCGGCAGTGCCCCTGCCTGCCACCAGTGCTCCAAAATCCACACACCAGCTATAAAAGCTTCCATAAAGCAGTGTAGCGGAGGGCTGTACGACATTAAACATGGTAAAAACATGTCCCTGTTCTAGGGACCTTCCAACACAGGACTGCTGCAAACGGCACAACTGCAAAATCTGTAGAGGGGATGGCGAGGGGCAGACACCCCGCTCATCCCCAGGTTATTACGGTGTTGTTAAGTAACAACAAATCTGTAGCTCCTCACAGGTTTCCAGCCCAACACCACAGCCATGCCCTGACTTCAGGGCGTGTGCCCAGCTCTCAGCTGAGGGGTTGGGGGGGCAAGAAAAATCACTCACCAAGATGCAACTGGACGTCTTTCACTTCCAGGGTGTTTGATTTGCGATGCCGCGCAAGCTGGCAGGCAGCCGTCACCACGCTCTCTATGAAATCATCTGCGATCTGTAACAGCATCTGTGGCAGAACAAGGACAACAACCAGTCTTAGCAGCACTGAGCAGCTGAAATTATGTGGAAAGTATGAAAATAAACCCTCAGAAGCTAGTATTTCAACAGCATTTGCTAGAATTGCTGTTATAAAACCCTTTTCAACACAGGGACGCAGGAATAGACACGGCTGGCTGAAGGCTGCAGCGACATGGGACTACAGAAGGGTAAAATGAGCCCTCCCTGCGCTGGGGAAAGGGCCACCGGTCCATGAAAAAATCCCAATTAGCTCTTTCTGCAACCCCTGCCATGGGTTGGTACCTACCTCCTCCACATCTTCATCCAGCTGCTCATTCGGATCCACCTCACGCACCAGGTCCTGCAATTTCTTCTTGGTTAAAACCTGAGCGTGTGGGAGAAGAGGAAGGATTTACTGCCCTGCTTCAGCAAAGCAGCTGCCTACGCAGCACAGCCACAAAAGACCTCCTGCCCCACCACCCCCCCAAGAAGGCCCAAGTCACACGTATTGACACAGCACAACAGTTCAGGAATGGCAGAGATAAGAAATATCAGGTGTTAAGGAGTTATTTTCAAGCACCAGTCCTTGCTCTGAACAGAAAGTGGAATGCAGCAGGCCAGGATAAATAGGTCTCCTGCACCAAACTGGCACTAAAATGCCACTGGCTGAAGCAAAGCTGCTGGTAAGAGGGAACAAAGGCAAAACTAGAAGTCTTAAGAGGCAGACAGCAACGTATCAGAGACTATATTTGTGCTCAGGACACAAAGGAGGTATTTCCACGGCTCTGGTGCTTATCAGCTTTAGCGTTTCAAATGCAAACCAGAGATATCTTCAAGTGCTGGGTTATTCTAGGGCAGAAGACAGCACCCTCTCAGCCCAAACATGGCAGGGAGCAGAAATTTTACTGCTGCTAAACAACAGCAGGACCCTTAGTCTGACAGGATACAGATGGAAATTATCACCACTCATCTGTCAGCCTGGTCAGATGAACCAGACACACATGGGGAATTCCTGCCCTTCCTGGCTCTCTTGCACCAACGGTGGAACTGCTGTGCCTGCGGCTGTGTCGGGGCACTAGTACACTGCCCAGAGAGGTCACGGTGCCAGCAAAGCCCGCAGAGACATCAGGGTTCATTCCTGGAGCACTTGCTGGGCAGCACCTTATTTTACACACGTCAAAGACTCTGGATCACAACAAACACACACGCGGGTCAGCAGCTCCCAGCAGCGACGCTGCCTCTCGTACCACCCTGGTAAGACAGAGGCTACAAACCTGCATGTTTATGCCTCCCATCTAAACCATATTTTAAAAGAATTTCCCAATCACATCTCCAAGAGACATTTTCCTGAGACTGAAAAAAACCTCTACACCTACAGCGTCCATACCCCATCCAGCCTGGAAGTGGCTGGGAGGGAAGAAATACATGAAAGTGTTTGTTCACTCAGTAACCGATACTTTAATAGACGTTAAGTTTTTGCTGGCGGTTTAAGGAAGGAGAGGAATTAAGCCACAGGCAGGTCTGAGCATCTCCCCTGTTGTCCTAAAATAGTGGATAAGATTACCTGGTTGCTTTCAGGACTGAGCCGTCCTCCTCCGCTGGGCGTCCCCGGCATCTTTGCCACGGTAGTGCTGTTGGCCATGGAGCTCTGCGGGGGAGTGCTGGCGGGTTCTGGCTTTATCGAGAAGTTGGAGAGGTTGATCAAGGTAGAAGGGCCAAACTGGTTCATAATCTGTTGGGCTTTAGCTTTTAGATCATAAAGTTTATCTAGGTCCTGCTTCTTCTTGGGGTTGTGGGGACCCAAACCAATCAACTGGAAAAGGAAACGAAAGCCACAGTTAGCAAACAGAGAAGGAATTTGACGGGGTGATGATGTCTTTGTCTGCAGTGTCCTGATAGGGCCTAGAGGTTTACGGAAGATTGTGTTTCTCTGGAGGCAGCAAGAAGCAATTTTTAGATGAAGAGAAAACTTTCCCTGGTATATGGAACATGAAGTTTTCCCCAGGAAGCACAGTGGCTGCAGGCAGAGCAGCTCTGCAGCAGCACCGACCCGCCTGCTCGTTCCTCGGGCTCCCTCGCCCTCCCGTCAGGGTCTTTCTGAACACATTTCCCTTGGATCACAAACAGCTTTGAGGAAGAGACCATGCAAAAAGATTTAACTAAAGGCCAGGGCTTGCCCCCGCGGCAGCAGCGCAGGGGAACAGCAGGCACAGCGCTCGAGTCTTCACTCCACGCTCCAGGGGCCTGTGAAGGAGACGGGGTTCCAGCTCCCACGGGTGTCCGCTGCAGCCTGGACGTCTTGTTTTTGGCAACACCACACTTCAAGCCTGACCGGCAGCAATGCCTCAATGCTGGTTTGACAAACAGCGTTTGGTTTGAGTTCTGAGAGCACAAGTCTGGGTACTCTGAGGTAACGTGACGGAGAAATGCACACGCACACCCACACCTTCGATTTGTTCTTCCCACGCCGGGCACCCACAGCCACAGTAAATGAAGTGAGATTTACTGAGCTGTTAACAGCGAACCAGAAGTGGGTTGTGGCAGCTTAACTGATTACTCAGATCTTCCATTCAACCCTGCGGTGCCTGACGTTATTCAGGTTACTGGCCACCAAGCTAACACTCAGACTGACTGGAAACTACTCGATTTCGTGGCTGGAGGGCTCTAAACTCCACAAGCTTGATGAAGCTTTGCTCTGTCCTTACTGCTCTGTAAAAGGAAACTTGTCCAAACCCCAGACCTTCCACCCCCGCAACTGCTGTGGGCAGCAGTGACAGGTCTGTCACGTGAAATGAGCATTTAAGGAATGGTTTGATGTAAAAGCCCCTCGTGCAGCAGCTGCTGCCAGGCCCAGAGCCGGGAGAGAAGCAGCCGCTGAGACACCGCGTCTGAAAAGCCCCTGCCTGCATCCCAGGGTGAACTTACTCATGGAGGAAGAAAAGAGTTTCTTTAAACAACTTTACAACACTCTTGCATACAAAGTGATGAACAAAGCATCTGCCACCTGAGCTACAAAGAAACATTTTCCCCTCATCAGAGCAAGCTTTGTTAGTTTGGGTTAATTCATACCAAAACACAAACCAGAAATCACACAGGAGTACCAAGAAGCAGCTGCTTTAGTGCTTCATTCCAAGGCACACTCATGCACTGTTGCACCTACAGACACGGAGCCCTTTTAGGAGGATTTATATCCAAGACACACTTTGTAGCGCCCTCAGCAAGTTTCCAGCTCAATTTTAACTGAATTAATGATAGAAAACCATTACCCTCACACCCTAAAACCCCTCAGTTGGCACTTCTGAACAAGGAGCTCAGCACAAGATCAGGAGGCACGTCAGCGTGCTAGTCCTGGTTTTAGTTTAGGCTGATCTCAGGCTGTTCACCCCACACCTCACTTCACAAATCCACAAAGCAGGAATTCTTACCCACCATGCAGGGGAGGAAGCTCTGAAATTTTTGGGCAGAAATGACTTTATTAGCATAAAGTCATTTTGTTCATTTATTTCCAGATCTTATTGCACCCTTTGCGTGCCGTTAAGATCACCAAACACAAAACTAACAGGATGTGCAGATTTCTAGGACAAATCTCACATGCCAGCCCTGTGGCAAGCCCCGGCGGTTTACTTACAGCTATCTGAGTGTCTAGATCTTTAATTACATCAGCAACCGCTGTGGGCCCAGCGAACGGAGAGGCCATTTTCCAAAGCCTTCCCAGTACATCAGCAGTCAGCGTTAACCTACTCTGGCTTCCTCCTCTTCCATAAAACTCTCATTCCTACAGGAATACCAGATATTTTTTGTATCACCCACTCTATCGTAAGATGGTGAGAGGAAACATTTTCACTCAAAAGAGCATGAGCTGTCCTTACTACGGCACAAGAGGGTTTATCAGAAGATACTACACGAGCAGCCTGTGAGCGTGCGCTGCTGCAGAGGACAAGGCATCTCCCAGGATCCTGAAGCACAAGTAGAAACTTGGCCAAATTCCATTTTTCTGTCAGAAGAACGGAGGGTGTTGGTATCTGCTGTCAGCAGCAATGCGCAGGTGAGCCCGGACCTCTGCAAGAGCAGCTTCTCCCCATGGCAGGAGTAGGTCTGGTGGGTGCAATTAGCACCACTGACCCTCAGCGACTCGCTGCAACTCATTAAGCACCGGTACTCCAGCACAGGCTTACAGCCGTAATTAAAAGTCTACATTCAAGCCAAACAAACCTTCAGCACATTCCTTGGAGTGCTCAGGGGGCTCTCACTTCTATTAAGACACAGCAATTGTCACAAAATATTTAAATAGGTTTGCAAAGGACTGTATGGTCCAGGTGTCTCTTTACTGTTAATAAGCTTGGAAACTTCTTGGGTTTTGCTTTAGTTATTATAAATATGAGGCAAAGTCCTCCCTTATGCTGCTAGAGGCAGCATCCGTTACAAGCACTTGTCCGTTAGGTGCACTAGCTAAAAGGGGATGAATACAAAAGTCCTTTTTTTCCCCCTGGATGTGCTTGTTAGATGCTGAAGGGTATCTCAAACCTCCCTCCTCCTCGAGGCACAGCTTCCACCTTCACCTTCTACCCCCAAAGCGCCAGCACTTGCCATCTAGGGTGGCAACAGCTCCACACTCGCCGCTCAAAGAGTTTTTCTTCCACTATCTTCCCCGCCACCAGCTTGAAGAGGTCACCAGCCCCACGACTGCCCACAAGGAATACCATTACCGGACCGAACGAAACCTCCCCGTGCAAAACGTTTCCACCGGCTGCCCCGTCGGGAAGAGCCAAGGTCACCCACAGCGACCCGGAGCCGACACGGCCCCACAGCGAGCCGAGCCCCGCCTGTCAGAGCTGCGGGGTCACCCCTCAGGCCCCGGGACACCCCCTCCCCCGGCTGCTGGCCGCCACACGGGCGGGGGTTTGAACCCCGGCTCCAGGCCCGGCTCTTCTG